CGTTATATAATAATCCGGCCGCTCGGCGTATATAATAATCCGGCCGCTCGGCGTATATAATAATCCGGCCGCTCGGCGTATATAATAATCCGGCCGCTCGGCGTATATAATAATCCGGCCGCTCGGCGTATATAATAATCCGGCCGCTCGGCGTATATAATAATCCGGCCGCTCGGCGTATATAATAATCCGGACGCTCGGCGTATACAGCACTGCGCACAGGTTTTCGGCAGGTGAGAAATGCTGTAAAATGAGAATGTTTCAGAAATATATAAGAAAGAAGAAGAAAAATCTAAATCAGATCAATATTCGGGGTGATCGCCCTTTGGCACCAGTTCTTGCACACAGTCCGGGATGTTGTAGGATCGGAGTCCGGTGTCTGATGACCCAATTATCCCGATCAGGTCTAATGATCACCAATGTCATATGTGTGGTGAGGTGACGCACCGTCATCACCTGACACAGCCAAACTCTGCTACTAAGGGGAGGTTGTGGAAGACGGTTTCATGTCACAGGTCACATGACACCAGGTAGTTATACGGCATCAGCGACGTCTCCCGGGCACAGATCTCACAGCAGACCGGAGCGGATCGGGATGATGAAGCACAAAGAACCGGACAACACCGGTGACGCTGTGGTCGGCCAAAGAAACTTAATGCAACAGATGAGACACATCATGCTTACGTCTCTTCGACATCAGAAGATGTGCAGCAGTGTCATCAGCACCGGCCTGGCAGAAACCAGCGGGACCCGGGTACACCATCTACTGTCCGGAGACGTCTGGAAACCAGGGGGACCCGGGTACGCCATCTACCGTCCGGAGACGTCTGGAAACCAGCGGGACCCGGGTACGCCATCTACCCTCCGGAGACGTCTGGAAACCAGCGGGACCCGGGTACACCCATCTACCCTCCGGAGACGTCTGGAAACCAGCGGGACCCGGGTACACCATCTACCGTCCGGAGACGTCTGGAAACCAGCGGGACCCGGGTACGCCATCTACCCTCCGGAGACGTCTGGAAACCAGCGGGACCCGGGTACACCCATCTACCCTCCGGAGACGTCTGGAAACCAGCGGGACCCGGGTAC